CGGCAGTTTTTCCCATCCTGCCCTACGAAATAAAAATCCAACGCCTTTTTTTTTTTTTTTAAATAAAAAAAAGGGGGGGAGGTGAAGAAGCAAAATCCGGAAATGGATTAAAAGTGTCCTAAATAATTAAAAAAAGTGAGATTTTTGTAATTTAAATACAAATATACTTACAAAATCTTACAGAGGCTATTTACATCCCTCTCCCCCAACCTGACAGTCCGTTCAGTTCCTACAGGAGACAGCCCGAGAGGAGCCGGGTGGGCAGAGCCAGGCGGTCCCAGGCGTGGGGGTACCCACCTGGCTCGTCCTCTACTCTCCGCCACCTATGGAAGTGACTCACGGTCCCCAAAGTTTGCCCAGGCTGGATAAGGAGCTGCTTCCCAAGGCAGAGCCTGGGTCCTCCTGCCGCCCGCCATCCCCTTGGCCCAGCAGGCAGGGGTCTCAGACGGTTGTCTCGCCCTGCTTGCTGTTGGTGAGCCGGGTGTAAAACTTCCTCCAGGAGTTCAGGGTTTTCCCAGACCAGATCCAGAAGCCTGAGGTGATGCCCACGATTAAGGTCATGAGATACTTGATCATGAAGACGGTGAAGTCGGGGCTCATGGGTGGGTGGTGGCTGCTGTGGTTGTTGGGGCAGGGGATGGCATAGCTCTTACAGCTCTGCGTGACCCAGCTCCTCTCCCACTGTTCCCTAAAAGCTTGCTCGTAAAAATAGCAGGCAATGACGATGGTGGCCGGCACCGTGTAGAGGACGCTGAAGATGCCTATCCTCACCATAAGCTTCTCCAGCTTTTCTGTCTTGGTGCCATCGTGTTTCATGATGGTCCGGATCCTGAAGAGGGACACGAAGCCAGCCAGCAGGAAGGAGGTGCCGATGAACAGGTAGACGAACAAGGGGGCCAGCACGAAGCCCCGCAGGGCGTCCACATTGTTGATGCCCACAAAGCAGACGCCGCTGAGGACATCCCCGTCCACCTGCCCTAGGGCCAGGATGGTGATGGTCTTGATGGCCGGCACGGCCCAGGCGGCCAGGTGGAAGTACTGGGAGTTTGCCTCAATGGCCTCGTGGCCCCATTTCATGCCGGCAGCCAGGAACCAGGTGAGGGAGAGGATGACCCACCAGATGGAGCTGGCCATGCCGAAGAAGTAGAGCATCATGAAGAGGATGGTGCAGCCCTCCCGCTTCGTGCCCTGCGCCACAGTGCGG